CAGAGAGAGTGTCCTGCATCATTGTCGTTTTCTGAGTCATTGTGGTGTGCTGCACCCTCAAAATCCTCATTGAAGAGCAGTGTCTTGGGATGGGTAGAGATGCAGGAGTGAGAGGTCCCTTCTACTTAAGGGCAAAGTAACGATCCTGAAATGGGCAGGGTTTATTCACAGGCAGGAAGAAGCTAAGGCAATGGTCTAACATGCCAGATAGGCTTATTGACCGCCTTATTACCAAACCAATTTTAAGGTGATTGAGCTGCCTATGAATGTTTTCTTTCATGGGTTGTTTGTTTGGAAACCAGCTGGCTGGAGAACACTATGTTCTTTTGGACATGCCTCATTGAATGAGAGCCATTTCACCTTGTGCTAAGGTTTTAAATAAAGCGTACTTTATTAATTTTAATGTGTAGTTACTGTGCTCTATTGGTGTTAAAAAGTGTACACAAACCTAACCTTTGTGCTAATATCACATTACTGTAGCTGCACAATACCACATACTCCCACAATCTTGGGCTCCTGGAAGAAGGCATGATTATGAGCCTTGCCTCAAGCAAAGAAGAGCCAGATGACCATGCTGCCCATTTCTTCTGCATCCTGCCTAATGTCACCACTTGCCTTATTCCCTGAGTGTTCTTGCAGTACTGGAGAACATTAAGCTCTCTGACTGTGCCATTGCAATTGCTGAGCATCCTCGGTGACTGTGTTTTTACTACTATGGGCTTGACAAGCACAAACACTTCCTTTACCACTCCCCTCCCCCTAAAACCAGAGAATGAAGTCCTTCATATTTCAGTCATGCATTGCCTACCTCTTCATTCTGTAAATTCTTTGCATGGCTAAGGAGACCCCAGCCAGGACAAAGATCTTTCCTTCCTGCACTCTGCAGGAAGTCATCTTTCACATATGTCTCAAATTGTCCTTGTGGTATCTACACTGTGGCAATCCCCGGCCCAGTGCCCTTGCTGTCATCTCATTGGACAAGGTTATTGTCCCTGAAATCAATCTTGTGCGCTTTGACTGCAATCCACAAATGCCAGCTCTCTGCTTCATTGGGTCATGAGAACAACTTTGCCTCTCATCGTCAGTAATATGTATATCTGGTCAAAGCTATCTCAATGGAACATGTCAGCACAAGCAGAGTAAAGCAACAAAAGCAAATGTCGAAACAGTTCAAGTGAATATTGAGTTATAAAAGTGCAGACTAGCTACATGTAATTGAACACTCATGTGCCCTCAAAAAGTTGTCATCTTTCTTTGCCTGCCTTTATGTCTAGATAGTGTCCCAACATAGCAGACTGTTAAACACTGGTGACTATGACTTTGGCCCAGAGGCCCTAGTCTGCTGAGAGTCTCTTACACAGGTGCACCCTCCATGACCTGACCTATTGGAGGCAATGGGATTACTCGGAGACGGCAGTCAAGAGGCAAGGCACCTACAGAGATAGTGGATGCAGTGGTAATCTTTCAGGAATCCTTAGATTCTGGAAAAGATCCAGAGGACTGGAAAACTGCCAGTGTAGCACCTATATTTAAAAAGGGAAGGAGACAAGAAAAGTAATTATAGGCCAGTTATCTTAACATCTTCCATGGGAAAATATTTGAGCTTATTATGAAGAACATAATAGCAGAGCACTTAGGAATGCATAATATGATCAAGCAGAATTAACATGACTTAATGAAGGGAAAATTGTGCCTGACAAATTTACTAGAATTCTACACTAGAGGTATCAAACAGGATAGATAAAGGGGAAGTGTTGGATGTAATAAATTTAGATTTTCAGAAGGCATTTCAGAAGGTATCACACATTAAGCCTGTTAGAGTCCATAGTTTTGTGGGTAGTATATTAGCATTGATAGAGGATTGGCTAACTAATAGAAGACACAGAACTGGGATAAGAGGGACCATTTTCAGGGTGGCAACCTGTAACTAGTAGTGAGTCCACAATTATTTACAATATAAATGATTTGGATGAGGATACTGAATGTACTATCACCAATATTGCAACAACACAAAAATAAGTGGGAAAGCAAGTGCTGAGGATGGCACAAAGAGTCTGCAAAGGGATGTGGAGAGGTTATGCAAGTGGGCAAAAGCTTCGCAGATGTAATATGACGAGGGGAAATACAATGTTATGTACTTGGGCACGAAGAATATAGGAGCTGAATATTATTTAAATAGAGAGGCTGCAGAAAGCTGTGGAATACAGGGACTTGTCCAGGAATTGCAAAAGGCTAGAATCCAAGTTCAGCAGGTCGTAGGGAAGGCAAATGGAATGTTGGCCTTTATTTCAGACCACAGCTGTGAACAATTTGGGTCCCCTTATCTAAGGAAAGATATCCTGGCATTGGAGGCAGTCCTGAGAAGTTTCACTGGGCTGATCTTGGGTATGAGGACAGGCTGAGTAGATTGGGCCTGTACATGTTGGAATATAGAAGAATGAGAGGTGACCTTATTGAAACACAAAATTATGAGTGTACTTGACAGGGTATATTCAGAAAGGTTGCTTCCCCTTGTGGGAGAATTGAGATCCAGAATACTAATCTTTGAGTAAGGGGTCACACGCATTTAAGACAGAGTTGAAAAGGAATTTTGTCTCAGTTGTAAATCTGTGGAATTCTTTACCACAGAGGACTGTTGAAGCTTTGTCATGAAGTATATTCAAGGCTGCGATAAACAAAAATTTTAATTAGTAAGAGAATCAAGGGTTATGTGGAAAAGGCAGGAAGGTGAAGTTGAGGATTTTCAGATCAGCAATGATCTCAGTGAATGGCTGAGCAGACTCATTGGGCTGAATGGCCTACTTCTATCCCTACATCTTACGGTGTCTTGATTGTACTGAGATGAAGCTCCCAAGGTGTCTGGCTGACACTCCCCCTCCCTGTGCGTGCCTACTGGCACCTATCTCTTAAGACGAAGGACGTACCTGGAATAAGTTTGAGCTGCCTCATCCCCCTGTTACCTCACCACTGATGCTGTGCACTCATAGCTACGGTGATTGGTTGTGTAACTGGCAGCTTCAGACTGTCCTTCTGGGTCTGGGTCTGAAAAATGGCCGCCATCATTTCATTAGATGCAACTAATTGATCGTCTGGCAGAGCCATAATAGTCAGCAGAACTTGGATGGCTCCTCAATCTTTCACTCTAGTTGTGGTGTGGTTGTTGGCAGTCGATCATCTTAGCTCAGCAGAAGTTCCTCAGTGTAGTGTCCTAGGCCCAACCATCTTCAACTGCTTCATCATTGACCTCCCCTCCATCATAAGGTTAGAAGTGAGAATGTTAATTGATGATTGCACAATGTTCAGCACCGTTCATGACTCCTCAGATACTGAAACAGTCCATGTTCAAATGCAGTAAGACCTGGACAACACCTAGGCTGGAGTTGGAAAGTGGCAAGTAATATTTGCATCACACAAAAGCCAGTCAATAACCATCTTAAACAAGATATAGTGTAATCATTGTCTCTTGACATTCAATGGCATTACCACTGCTGACCCGCCACTATCAACACCCTGTGAGTTAGCATTGACCATAAACTAAACTGGACCAGCCATTTAGACACTGGCTACCAGAACAGGTCAGAGGCTTGGAACTCTGCATTGAGTAACACACCACCTGTGTCCCCAGTGTCTGACTACCATCTACAAGCACAAGACAGGAGTGTTTTGGAACAACCTCCACTTGCTTAGATGGGTGTAGGTCCAAGACAACCAAGAAGCTTGACACTATACAAGGCAAAGCAGCCTATTTGATCAGTACCCCATTTGCTCCCTTTGCCACTGACGCATTGTGGCAGCAATGCGTACCATCTACAAAATACACTGCAGCGACTCACCAAGGTCACTTCCACAGCAACTTCCAAACCTGTAGCCTTAACCATCTAGAGGGACAAAGGCAGTAAATGTGTAAACTTGACGACTCACAGGTTCCCCTCCACTCTCACACCAACCTGATCTGGAATGATATCACTGTCATTGGGTCAAAATCCTGGAAATCTCTCCCAATGGACGTTTCTACACCCTAAGGACTGCAGCAGTTCAAGAAAGCAGCTCATCAACATTGTCTGTAGGACAATTAGAGAAGGACAGTAAATGCCTGCCTAGCCAACAGAGCCCATGTCCCATGAATGAATAACAAAAACTAGTCAAGTCTATTGAGGCCCTTTGTCATTACTACCTGATGTTATAGAGGCATGGGAACTTGTTATTTCTGACTAAGTAAGGAGGCATGACACCTGCATTGGGCTCAGCATGTGCGCGGACTCCAGTAGTCCCTCAGTGTCAGAAATCTTGGGCATTGCTTTCTCCTCCAGCTGTAGGCCCATGTCCATGATGTGCTCACTAGATTATGATCCTGAGCCGACTCAAAATAGTGTACTAACCAAGGTGAATGTCTCTGTGCTAGTGGAAGCTGCAGGTGAACACTGTACCAGTGTCTGTGAGGTTTCAGACACATCATCCTCTGAAATTATTGTGCTGCTGCTGTGGGGAGGTTGTGGTGTCTTGTGCTTCATCCTCTTCTCATGACCTGTAATGATGAAGGTGCACAGTCCCTTATGAAGACAAATGTCTGATATGGTTTGCACATAGAAACATACAAACATAGAAAATAGGAGTAGGAGTAGGCAATTCAGCCCTTTGAGTCTGCTCTGCTATTTGATATGATCATAAAGATCACCATTGAAGATATTTTGAATTTTGATATTATTGTAAATAATGTAAAAGCAAAAACAAATTGAAGATTACAATGAAAGCCACTAAGTTCAACAGAACAATAATCGCAATTCAGTCACATTTGAGATTGTAAATGATTCTGGTTTGGGTATCTATGATGTGACGATCAACTACAGCATTTAATTCAATGAGATGTGCAAAAGTAACCAGATCATTAATGTCTGATGTCCTTGGAGTACATTGCTAATGACAGGGCACAGGATTGCACTGACATCAGTCGTCTGAGGAATTGGTTTAAAATTGCTTGTGCTGTATGTGCTTATTTGCAGCCAACAAGAGATGATCGTGGGTGGTTAATTAACCCCATAGGTCCAAATCCCTGGTGGACAGTCATTGCTGCCATTATCCCAGCTCTGCTATGCACTATTCTTATTTTCATGGACCAACAGATTACTGCTGTTATTATAAACAGGAAGGAACACAAGCTGAAGGTATGAACTCCTGTTGATTCTTTAAAATCACTCGCAGAATTTTTGTTGAAAATGGATATTGAGAGTAACATGGAACAGAATTTTATGACACACGCCAGCATATTTGAACATAGAGGACGGTCTTCTAAAATGAAACAGGTGGCCAGCGCACTGCCTTCCCACCTACCCTTGACCTGTTACCCATATTGTGGGGAAGAGTAAGGCATCAAGCTGCCCACCCACCTGTAGGCCAGTTGAGGCCCCTAAATGACAGATTAACTGCCACTTAAAATTTTAAATCGGTTTCTGTCTCAATATTTTGGACTGAGGGGGAAGGCTGACAAGTTTTCACTGTGCAGTTTGTTGTCAGGCAGGAAGAGAGATGGGACAGCTCCTGTTTCAGGGCATGTCCACTGTGTCCATTGAGGTAACTTTGTCCCACTTCCAACATGGTATCCCATCCCTCTCCACTGGCAATGTTAACATAACACTCCATCCCTGGGGTCTCCCCGCTGTGTCAGCCCAAAATCCTCAGAATTACCTCAAACATGGAAGATGACATCTGTTCCCCAGCAGCATTTTGTAGTCCCAGCAGTGGTCATTACTCTCTTCTGTCAGAGCTCATATTACACGGCTGAGGTAATTCTGAGGAT